AAAAAAAAAAAAAAAAAAAAAAAAAAAAAAAAAAAAAAAATTAAAAATTAAAATTTCCCAATTTGTTGGGTTGGTGGCCATCGTTAATGCCTAAATTTCCTTTTATTTTATTATTATTTTCCTTTTCCCATTAGAATTAATGGAATATCAATAAATATTGAAAGAGTGGCGGTAGATAGTTATCCGTTGGATGTTGGTAACATCTTCATTCTCTCTCCAAATTAATTTTTAATTTCGTCTCTTTGAATGCCCTTTCATTTTTTATTTATAATAATTTCACTATTAAATCAAAAAAAAATTATTAATTAATTTTAAATTTTGGTTAAAAAAAAAATCTAATACGTTAATTTTTAAATTCACTTAAAAGCCTCGTACCAATAAAGATATTAATTAAATGACTCTGATATCATTAATTAAATAATAATAATAATAAAAGAATTAAAATAATCCTTCAAAGAGTTTAGGGAAATAAATCTAAAAGTTAGACGTAAATTAATTAATTTGCCTAATTTCATTAAATATACAATCCAAAAATGAAAATCTGTTAGCTTTTGTATTTGGACGCGGATCGGAATCCGGGTGACGTGGGGTCCGGGAATTGTGGCGCACCGTACTTTGACCTTATCGAAACCGACATGGTGGCTACGTGAATGGCTCGAGCGTGCAGGTGCAGCTGCACCGTCAATTTGGCCGGTGGCTCACAATTGGCGGGACCGTATTTTTGCGTCTCTGGAGCTTTAAAACGTGGGAATTTAATATCTTTGTTTACCCTACCAGATAATGCCACGTGTAAATATCATTATTGTTTTTATATATATATATATATTAAATTAGTAGGAAATGTAACTGACGCAATTAACCAACCGGTGGTGATACTCAATACCAGTCTTCCTCCTCTATCCTAACATGTTCCATCTTTATCAAAGAGAATCAAGTGCTTACACCTCATTTCGAAGATAATGTTCGGGCAGAGTTTGATAAGAATTGAATTGAATTATGAAAATGGATAGGAATTCAAGCTTTCTTTGCAACCATGTTTGAGGCGCCTTTTTAAAGACTTCAAATCTAGGCTTTGTTGTCAAGATGTCAAGGTTAGTGTAGGCAACATAAAATCATGATTCATCAATGTCTCAAACACATACGATCTAAATAACATGGAATATGACAACAAGAAACACTTGCATTTCAACCATAAGTTTAGTTTTTAAAGCTAAACTAAACATTATCAACCAAAATGGTTTGAACAATATGTGCGGTGATTATGTTCAACCGTAAAATGTCCAAGAAATATGATAATAGTTCCATCAATAATAGGATAAAATAGTGCAGTGTGGGTTCGTGTTGTAGCTATTGTTGGTGTAGTCATTTGGTCACCGATTTGAATTTTATGTATGGAAAAGCTATATAGCTTTGAGATTCCTATGGGAGGATGAGAGAGGAAAAGCAGAGGCAGGGGAGTGAAAGGAACCAGTCCCTAATTCTTTTCTTCTTTAAATTACCACAAATGTGAACAGACAGAGTTGAGATGAACTTTGAGATAAATTCATCCTTAAATTCAGGAGAAATTCCTCTGCACTCAATGTCTCTTCTAAGCTTTTAATTCTACTTAAAAACCTTCCGCTAGGAAACTTGATTCTTTCTGCAAATTCAAATCCCTAAACGATTTTTTTTTTTTTTTTTTTTCATAAAATGCAGGTGAAGAACATGGAATTTCACAGTGGGAAGCAGTGCAAATCTCCTTTTGGACATTCACATCCAAATTCTACTTTAGACGAGTTTGAATTCAAAGCTAGCAGCCGTTTCAATCTCAGCGATATCGGTTTTGATCAAGATGATCTAATAGAGAAGAAAAACAAGCAACGAACACAAAGCGAAGATGAATTTGTACCTGCGACGGAAAGATCCTTCCACTTCCTCATCGGCTCAAAATTCCGCCGCCTCGCATTGAAAATCGCAGCGGCAAAAGCTCCACCGGTCTCGGCGCTCAAAATCAAATTCGCTCACCAGAATCTGTGAAACGATGATTTTGATCCTTTCTTGGGAGTGTCTTACTTGAGTGTAAATGAAGAGAAAGATGAAACAGGAAAACGCAAATAAACAGTAATGGACCGAAACCGGCCCATTAACCATTTCCACAAAGGCCCAACAAACAACCCAGCAGAACAAATTACGGGCCCCAATTACCTCATCCCAATTTGAAAAATTCATCAAATTACAGGCCCCACAATCCACCCTCGAAAGGAGTGTCCTCGCTAACATTCGTTCCCTTCTCCATATGTAATCTCACAATCCACCCTCTTTCAGAGCCCAGCATCCTCACTGACACTCGTTCCATTCTCCAATCGATGTGGGATCCCATAATCCACCCTCTTCAGGACCTAGCGTCTTTACTGGCACACAGTCCTCACTGACACTCGTTCTCTTCTCCAACCAATGTGGGACTCCATAATCCACCCTCTTCGAGACCCAACGTCCTTACTGGCACACCGTCTTGTGTCCACTTCCTTCAAGGCTCAGCCTCTGACACATCGTCTATCTAGCTCTAATTCTATTTCTAACAGCTCAAGTTTATCGCTAGCAAATATTGTCTTTTTTTGAACTTTTCCTTTCGAACTCTCCTCAAAGTTTTTAAAACGTATCAAAATGTTCACACCCATATAAATAATGCTTATTTCTCCTCTCGAATATCACACCGTTGTTTGTTTAGCATCAAAATTTGGTCATGAGTGGGAGCCAATCATATAAGCGACGACATTCCCACCAGAAACAAAATGATATTTAAAGCAATAGATTATTAGATTATCAAAGTGGAAGGAAGAGTAGACAGCTACAGTCTTCACACTACTGAATCTAAACAGAAAGCCTATATTCTTTTGCTGTTCCTAAAATCACTTTCTTCACATCCCTTGAAACAGAGTAATTAGATTACGCAGAGGAAGAAGAAGAAGAAGAAGCATGAGCTCCAAGCTCAAGAGGTGTGAAGGGGCACCAAGCTCCTACCTACTCCAAGATGTCTGTAGGCCAAAGTTGTTTCCACATTGAGATTTCTTGATCGGAGCAAAGCTTTCGGATTCCTCCGTAGAACCCGTCGATCTCGTTGCCTTCCTCTCGATGGTCCTTTCGGTTGATGGCTGCGAGTCTCCATCTTGATCCAGGGGTGTACTGGTTGAACTCCAGCACCACAGTTTCTGTTCACAAAATTTCACATATCAGCAACCACTTCTACACTTTCATATGATAACCACACAACTTGAACTTTGATGATGGAAGAAGTCACTGATGAACACCAAGTTCTTACCAATATTCATAACAGAAATGATGATTTCAAAATCTTAAGCTGATGGAACTTAAATGCTTTTGAAGTCACAGATTCTTAGCCTACTAGGATATCTACTTCCACATTGGTTCCACATTGGTTGAGGAGGAGAACAAACCACCATTTATAAGGGTGTGGAAACTTTTCCCTAGCAGACGCGTTCTAAAACCTTGAGGGGAAGTCCGAAAGAGAAAGCCAAAAGAGGACAATATCTGCTAGCGGTGGGCCTAGGTCGTTACAAATGGTATCAGAGCTAGACACCGGACGATGTGCCAGCCTTCTCGCTGTTCCCCGAAGGGGGGTAGACACAATGCGGTGTGCCAATAAGGACGCTGGCCCCTAATGGGGGGGTGGATTTGGTGGTGGTCCCACATCGATTGGAGAAAGGAACGAGTGCTAGCGAGGACGTTGGGCCCCGAAGGGGGGTGGATTGTGATGTCCCACATTGGTTGGGGAGGAGAACAAATCACCCTTTATAAGGGTGTAGAAACCTTCTTCTAGCAGACACATTGAGGGAAAGCCCAAAAGGGAAAGCCCAAAGAAGACAATATCTACTAGCAGTGGATCTGGGACATTACACTACTACGGTCCTATTTCCAAATATTTGTCATCAAGTAGTTGTCCCATTATATTGATCCCAGATGCAGATAAGTAGTGATTATTTTGAAAAAGTAGCAATAAAGTTCATCTTAACCAAAAGGACTGAAAAAGGTAGAAAAAAACAAAGTACAAACCAGCTGCACCTAGTGGATAACTTTTAAGAGTAAAGAGAAACCAACACTCCAGCACTGAACTACCCAACCCAAGGATAGCTCAAGCTCAATTAGTTAAAGCATTATACTCTCAACTAAATGATCAGAGGGTAGAATTCCCCCTCTCGTGTTGCTAGTACAATCTATATCCAATGGAAAAGCGCCAAACATAAAAGAAACTTTCCTCTCGATCGGTTTTGTCTTTCCAATCGTTGCAAATATTCTAGTATATATATAACTAGCCATATGGTCCAACACGTGAATAAAGTCACCTTTGTTTCGAAGGCCGAGCGAGTTAAACAAGTTCGTTTTTTTTTTCTTTAAAAGGAGGTCCTTAGGTCCTTTTCTATCTCCGGACTGCATTAATTTCCCAATTGTTAAAATCAACAAAGGCTTGGGCAGTGTTCAGTTACCTCAGAGTGGTTGGCCATAAAAGCTCCACTAAGACAATTCAATAGATCAGTGGTTGGACACAAGCATTCCACTGGGACAAAAGCTATGAATATGTTGGTAGAAATGATGGCATACTGACAATAATGTCTAGGGGACCAATCAAATAGCATAAAAAGTTTTGGCCCACATTTTAAAAATGAGATGCTTTTCGATAGGGTTCTGAAACAGCGACCCATACAAACTGACTTCTGCCCATGCCAGTGCAGGTCAAGTAATGACTCATCAAAACAACGAAGAATGGCTTATAATACCTCAGACTACAAGTAACTGAAGGTTCAGAAAACAACTACTTCTAAGACAAAGGAGAAGCGGGGAGGCCTCTCTGTGTTCTTAAGTGGCTATGTCCACTCTTTTTGTGGGGTTTCTTTATTCTTTATGCCTTGTTTTTTCGTTTAAATTATGAAAATTGGTTTCTATTTTGAGTTGAATCTTATAATAAAGATTTCAGAACTAGCTCAATGATCAGTAACTCTGCTTGAACTTCCATAGAACAAACAACAATCCAAAATAAATGATCAAACTAGAAGTTGTGAAGAAAACTCACCACTATAATGACATCTGCAGTGAGTAGCATTTCCATCACATGTTTCCAAGTGACCTACAACGCCATACCACCAACCTGCAATGCATATGCCACAGTTTATGAGCCCTTAGTTAATTAGCTATTCACAGCAACGCTATAAAAAGTTTACAACAGTAACGGTTCTTATTACGTGAAACAAAGTTCTTATATTATAAAAAGAACTTTCTGTTCCCAAAGAAACAAAAAACGAGCTAATTTTGATAGACGATTGACCGACTATTTAGTCTTTCCATTTCTATGTTCGTATGGGTCTTTTCCTTTTGCTTCCATGACCTTTCGTCAAACTGTAATACCTTGATTTAGACGAACAAGTCGAAAGGGGATGGTTTGAACTAGGACTCAGAACAGGTAGAAATTCAATAGATAAATTGCAAAAAAGCTCAAAAGAGATCTAGGCTGAAGAACAAACCATAAGGGAATTCTTTGTTTTTTCTCCACTGTATCTCAATATGGTCACCAGGGCACAATTCATTCAAACAGTCTGAGATATGAAGATCGTGTGGAGGAGTATCGATGGGCGGTGCTCTAAGCCTCTCCCATTGCACGCCATTCTCAATTGCGATTGCACGCCTGCCATGTGGAGGGTACCTGTAAGAAAGAGTACATTTTCTCAATTGAAAGATCTGTAAAAGAAAACAGGGCAATAATTGATGCGGTCGAGTTAGACAGAGGGTGTTTGCTTAATCACCTCGCTTGGAAGGTGTCCGTGTGGGGATCATAGCAAAGCTTTGCATCATAACAAGACAACATGAAACCAACATGGCCATTCTGCATAATTGAATACTTCAAATATCAGGTACAATACTTTGAAAAGGCCACCAGCCCAATACACAGTTAACTATTAACTATTCAGATCAGATAGAGCTAAACACTTCATCACAGGAAGCGGGGAAATCTGAATACATAGAAAAGACTTGTTCACAACTGGAAGCATACGATTACGAGTCGTTTACCTCACGGTTATAGACCTGAGCTGGGAACCAGAATCTGCCAGTCTCAAGCGCAAGATACCAAGACATGATTGAATCAACCGGCAGCGAATTTCGTTGCGTGTTATTGTCATTAGCCTTGGATCTGATCCATGAAAGAGACCAACCAAAAGACAAAAGTCTAATAATGCTCTTCTGCTTGTTTTGCTTAAGATTACTTGCACCAGCTCTAGAAGCAAGATACCATTGCCACTCTCTGTAAGCAGCTTGACCAATAACTTTACCCCATTTTCGTTGTATGTGCTTCTCCCAAAGACGGTCACTTATACATCTCTCTCTCAATGAACTACAAACACCCGCCATACTACATAGAGCGCCCGGTGGAAGTCTCTCTAGAATGCCTTCCAAGACCAATTCTGGCAAGTCCAACACCGACATCTCACTGTTTTCCTCAACATTCTCTATTTTTGAAAGATATTTCTTTTTCAAGGACATCCTCGATGGAATACTAAAAAGATATGTACAAAGACTGTTCTTGATCACCTTGTATATGGGAAAGAATGATAATTCTTTCCAGAACCAGTGGGGCAAGAGCCTCATCTCATATGCCCATAGTGGGAGTGGTTTGAGGGGGAGGGACTTTATAAAGAGGAGGAAGGAGAGGCAAGTGAGGAAGAAACAAAGAAGCATCAGAAAAGAGGTACTTTCTTTTATGGATAAAAAAATGGATTTAGCATAAAAGACAGGGGGAAGATGAATGGAAGAACCCAATTGTGGGAATACAGTGTTAATGAGGGGAATAATACTGAAATGAAGCCCCTTTTTCTTCTTCCTCCTTGATCATTAAGAAAGGCAAAAAAAGGAAGTTCAATGTGGCCTATGGGATCCTGTGGCACCTTTCAAATGTGGGTTTCAATTGGTTCAAAGAAGCCCACCAACCCCAAGGGTGGGCTCCACGTTGAAGTTTAACAGAGCAAACTAGAGGGCCTTGAGCCACCTCACAAGACAAACTTTTGTGGGGAAAGTTGGCTTCACTTCACCAGTCCAGGAACCAAAAGAAAGTTTGAACAGCTCCCTCAGCTTCTTAATCTTTCTTCCTTTAAAGCATTCGAACATACAGACGCCCAAACCCAGCTGACATTCAAATAAAAAACAGGGCCAAGTGAGCTAAATTGGTTCTATTGGATGAACCCATGACTGAAACTTGTCGATTGGGTGGGGCAGTCTCAAATCTATGGTGGTTTCCTGACACCTGGAGAGTCCCAATAAGCGAAAAAAATAAATAAACAATGATAATAAAGCTATAAGAGTCTAGATGCAATGACCCATATCTCCAAAATCCCTGATTTTGTTTCTTAAAAAAGAGCTAAACCAAAAGAATAAGGTGGAAAAACAGATCGGAGTTGTTGGCAGATAAGCCACAATTAGGTGCACCCAACACCTTAAAATTGTAAGAAATATAGAAATGACACACAACAGACAACGACTAGGAGATCTAGAACTAGTGGCGGAGATAATGGTGGCTACAAAGAAGAAGAGCAGATAAAAAGAAATGAAGAAGGTGGGGTCCTTTCTTCTCACCTCAAACTTCAAAAGCAAGTCGTGTTCTTCATCACAGGACCATCATCAAATCCTTCACCACCACCACCACCCACAGAGCTCTCAATCGCCTTCAATCCCTCTCTTAGGCAATTCATCAAACAGTTTGTGTGCATAAACAAGAGAAGGAGAGACCCATGTATTTAATGGCCGGTCTCAAGGCTTGAATTACGAATTAGCAGAAAAGAAGAAGATGGGGATTTTTGGAGGGAATTATTGTGTGGATATCAAACAAAAACCAAATGTTAAACCTTAAAATCTCAATTATTACAAACCCATCTCTCTCTCTCTCTCTCTCTCTCTCTCTCTCTTTCGTTTCTTCATCGCTCTCTTTCCAAGATTCCCTCTTTTCAAACAAGTGGGACTAAAATCCGTCTTAACTAGAAAGATTTTCGATTCCGTGATATTATTGGCTGCTATCTGGCTTTGGCTTTTTCCTCTACGTTCTATTTCTTTGCAACCCTTTTACTACTATCCAATTATATCTTGCCACGTCACACAATCAATTATCTTTTTTTAGATTAAAATAAATCAAGATTTTTTATTCGTTGGTTGATGAAAAAATTAATATATGAAACTCAAATAGTTTTCTTTTTTTTTAATGTAAACTTCCATCATACAAATTTATAAATAAATATTTTTTTAAAAATAATTTTAGAAATATTATTGATCACTTACACGTGCAAAATTTGAAACAATATTTATATTGTGTGATTGGATTATAATAAATTAAGCGTCTTATCAAATCATATATTATAATTAAAATAATATCACGTCAAAATTATTTGCTAGAGTTGATAATGTTAAGAATATGCTATATATTTAATAAAATAAAAAGTAAAAGAAGCTGGAATATTTTAATTATAAGATTTAATTTCATTATCTTATTAAAAAAAATGTACAAAAATGTGTAGACTAAAATAATTTTTTTAAGAAACATTAATTTATTTAAAGTTGCTTTTAACATTTAAAAAATATCCAACAAAAATCTTCTAAATTCAACTTTGATCTCCCAATTTTAAAAATATTCTCAAAATATCCTTTAGTTTGCATAATTTCAAATCATACCCTTTTGGCTTGTTAAATTTGACAAATTTGGTATATATGCAATTATACAAATTTGTAATTTGGTTGCAATTGGAAAGAAACTAAAGTATAGGGAAATAGTTTGAAATATGGCAAACTGGAAGGACGTGAGTTGTAATTAATGATAATTTGAGTGACTAATGTGTGCCTGCGTTTGTAAAATAATTAAAATATATGCTAATTATGTAATTATAGTTAAATCCCCCCAACCAAAAATATTTATTTAATGAATTCTTTGTACTGACACAGACAAAAATTAATTATAACATGACGTGATCAAATTTAAATTAAATTAAAATATGTATATTATATAAATAAAAAAAATTGAAAAATAATAATAGAATTTAAAATTGATAAAGAAAATGGGATTTAATCCTTTCTTGAAAATTCAACAAAATCCTGATCTTTAGCGCCTCAAGAAATATGGGCACGGGCACGGGCACGGGCACGGGCACGGGCAACGGGCAACGGGCAACGGGCAACCGACCTGGTTTTTGGTGGCCTCCCAACAGCCACGCATTTCTTCAACGAATATACCTTTAATATGCTTTAAATTTTGATATAATTATTCTAAAAAATATATTTATCGACCCCATGAATAATTAAAATTTTATAAAATTCAAATATAAAATGTTCACAGATCACAGGATTATTAACATCGATTACAGATCACAGGATTATTAACATCAAATATAAACTTTTATAGTTTGGTTAGGGGTAGTCGGGTTCTTAAGTTATATGAATTCCTCTAAAATTTTAAATTTGATAATAACCGATCGATGGATATATTTAAAAAATAAATTAATAATGGTTGTATTAAATATAATACTAGATTTTATGTTCATCACAACATAAATTTAATATCCGGTGTCTAATAAATAAAAAATTAAAATATTTTATAATTATAATTTAATTTTATACTTAAAAACTCCAATGAATAATTTTGGAATATTAAAAAAATTCAAAACAATTTTGTTTAATAATATATTTTGATTAGAATATTAAATTATTACGAAATTTCTAATGAGGAAGCTTGTTTGAAGGAATAAAGGTGGGTAAGGTGAGGATCCCTTATATAAAAATTAGCCTCTAAGATTGGCACGCCTTTCAAACACATTTTTTAATTGGCTATTTATATTCATTTAAAAATCTTATTTCTTTTTTCATATATAAATTAAAAAAAAAAAAAAATCCAACAAATAGGCTCAACGAACCCACCAGAACTATGGTGGGTGGGCCCCATCTCAATTTTATTAAAATAAATAAATAAATAAATTATAAAACTTAGTCTACCTTTAATAATTATATTTTTTTTCCCTCCAATGTATGACGTGTAAATAAATTATAAAACTTAGTCTACCTTTAATAATTATATTTTTTTTCCCTCCAATGTATGACGTGGAATGGATGTTTATTTTATAATTTTATATTGTCATTTAATAATATATATATATATATATATAGTATAGTATTATCTAATCTTTGGGGTAAAGATTTAAGAAAGTTAAGTCNTCTCTCTTTCGTTTCTTCATCGCTCTCTTTCCAAGATTCCCTCTTTTCAAACAAGTGGGACTAAAATCCGTCTTAACTAGAAAGATTTTCGATTCCGTGATATTATTGGCTGCTATCTGGCTTTGGCTTTTTCCTCTACGTTCTATTTCTTTGCAACCCTTTTACTACTATCCAATTATATCTTGCCACGTCACACAATCAATTATCTTTTTTTAGATTAAAATAAATCAAGATTTTTTATTCGTTGGTTGATGAAAAAATTAATATATGAAACTCAAATAGTTTTCTTTTTTTTTAATGTAAACTTCCATCATACAAATTTATAAATAAATATTTTTTTAAAAATAATTTTAGAAATATTATTGATCACTTACACGTGCAAAATTTGAAACAATATTTATATTGTGTGATTGGATTATAATAAATTAAGCGTCTTATCAAATCATATATTATAATTAAAATAATATCACGTCAAAATTATTTGCTAGAGTTGATAATGTTAAGAATATGCTATATATTTAATAAAATAAAAAGTAAAAGAAGCTGGAATATTTTAATTATAAGATTTAATTTCATTATCTTATTAAAAAAAATGTACAAAAATGTGTAGACTAAAATAATTTTTTTAAGAAACATTAATTTATTTAAAGTTGCTTTTAACATTTAAAAAATATCCAACAAAAATCTTCTAAATTCAACTTTGATCTCCCAATTTTAAAAATATTCTCAAAATATCCTTTAGTTTGCATAATTTCAAATCATACCCTTTTGGCTTGTTAAATTTGACAAATTTGGTATATATGCAATTATACAAATTTGTAATTTGGTTGCAATTGGAAAGAAACTAAAGTATAGGGAAATAGTTTGAAATATGGCAAACTGGAAGGACGTGAGTTGTAATTAATGATAATTTGAGTGACTAATGTGTGCCTGCGTTTGTAAAATAATTAAAATATATGCTAATTATGTAATTATAGTTAAATCCCCCCAACCAAAAATATTTATTTAATGAATTCTTTGTACTGACACAGACAAAAATTAATTATAACATGACGTGATCAAATTTAAATTAAATTAAAATATGTATATTATATAAATAAAAAAAATTGAAAAATAATAATAGAATTTAAAATTGATAAAGAAAATGGGATTTAATCCTTTCTTGAAAATTCAACAAAATCCTGATCTTTAGCGCCTCAAGAAATATGGGCACGGGCACGGGCACGGGCACGGGCACGGGCAACGGGCAACGGGCAACGGGCAACCGACCTGGTTTTTGGTGGCCTCCCAACAGCCACGCATTTCTTCAACGAATATACCTTTAATATGCTTTAAATTTTGATATAATTATTCTAAAAAATATATTTATCGACCCCATGAATAATTAAAATTTTATAAAATTCAAATATAAAATGTTCACAGATCACAGGATTATTAACATCGATTACAGATCACAGGATTATTAACATCAAATATAAACTTTTATAGTTTGGTTAGGGGTAGTCGGGTTCTTAAGTTATATGAATTCCTCTAAAATTTTAAATTTGATAATAACCGATCGATGGATATATTTAAAAAATAAATTAATAATGGTTGTATTAAATATAATACTAGATTTTATGTTCATCACAACATAAATTTAATATCCGGTGTCTAATAAATAAAAAATTAAAATATTTTATAATTATAATTTAATTTTATACTTAAAAACTCCAATGAATAATTTTGGAATATTAAAAAAATTCAAAACAATTTTGTTTAATAATATATTTTGATTAGAATATTAAATTATTACGAAATTTCTAATGAGGAAGCTTGTTTGAAGGAATAAAGGTGGGTAAGGTGAGGATCCCTTATATAAAAATTAGCCTCTAAGATTGGCACGCCTTTCAAACACATTTTTTAATTGGCTATTTATATTCATTTAAAAATCTTATTTCTTTTTTCATATATAAATTAAAAAAAAAAAAAAATCCAACAAATAGGCTCAACGAACCCACCAGAACTATGGTGGGTGGGCCCCATCTCAATTTTATTAAAATAAATAAATAAATAAATTATAAAACTTAGTCTACCTTTAATAATTATATTTTTTTTCCCTCCAATGTATGACGTGGAATGGATGTTTATTTTATAATTTTATATTGTCATTTAATAATATATATATATATATATATAGTATAGTATTATCTAATCTTTGGGGTAAAGATTTAAGAAAGTTAAGTCTAATTTTTTTTTTATCGAAAATATAATTTATTTAACTATATTGTTTTGAGTATTTTGCTCAATTATTATTATTATTATGAATTTATTCGTTTTTTTCTACAAATTCTCTCTCCCGAGATCGAGGAGATATATTAAAAAACGAGCATGGAATATCGAAGAGAGAGAAAAGAGGATAATTTATAATGGATGATGAAGGAAGTTGTTTAGGTTGGTTTGTGATTATCACTTTCCCATTCACTTCCCTTCCAATGCCTTTGTCTCCTAAAGTTTAAGCATCACTACTATCATTGCTATCGACTTTTTCTTTCTCTAATCTTTTCCTATCTTTCATTATAATGAGGATACTGACTTTCATATCTGACTCTTGATTATTACACGATAAGATTTTTTTTTCTTTACGACGTAAATGTGAACTTAAAAGATTGATGTGAATCTTAGATCCAACGTTTTGACATAGAAAGAAAGGCACGGTTTGAGAAGCCCACAAATCCATTTTATATATTGTATTGCTTATAAAGTATTT